CACTTTTTCCTCATTGAATTTACTTTTGTTAAAATCAATTGGCCATATGATTTTGACCATTAACTGACACATATGCAAGAATTCTCTCAAAAAAGGTTATAGGCCTAAATTTAAGGGTTAACTATACACTTCTTCGACAAAAATGTAAATTAATATGTTCATGACCTTGAATTAAGAAGAAAACCAAAAAACAAACTTTTTCTGCTAAACAATACAAGTTAAAAAATGAGACATGATCAAAACTAAAAATGTTTGCACTTTAAAAGACGTCAATAAGCAAATGAAAAGATAAGCCACAGAATGAGAAAAAATATCAAATTATATATTTGATAAAGGACTTGTATGCAGAATACAAAATGAAATTACAACTAAAGAACACTGGGATAAATGACCCAATTTTAAAATCGGCAAAATATTTGAATAGTCAATTCACCAAAAAGGTATAGGAATTGCCAATAAAGCACATGAAAAGATGGTCAGCATCATCAGTCGGCAGGGAAATTCAAATCAAACTATAATGTGACATCCCTTCTTACCCACTAGACTGCTATAAGAACAAAGAAGGACAATAGCAATTGAAGGAAGCGGAAAAACAATGATGTGAAAAATTGAACTCATGCATTGCTGATGGGACATGAACTCATGCTCACACTGCCGATGGGACATGCACTCATACTCACGCATTGCTCATGGGACGTGTACTCATACTCACGCATTGCCGATGGGACGTGCACTCATACTCACTCATTACTGGTGGGACGTGCACTCATACTCATGCATTGCTGGTGGGACGTGCACTCATACTAATGCATTGCTGGTGGGACGTGCACTCATACTCACGCATTGCTCGTGGGACGTGCACTCATAAGCATTGCTGATGGGGCGTTGAACTCATACTCACGCATTGCTGGTGGGACGTGCACTCATACTCACCCATTGCTGATGGGGCGTTGAACTCATACTCACGCATTGCTGGTGGGACGTGCACTCATACTAATGCATTGCTGATGGGGCGTTGAACTCATAGTCACGCATTGCTGGTGGGACGTGCACTCATACTCACGCATTGCTGATGGGGCGTTGAACTCATACGCATTGCTGGTGGGATGTGCACTCATGCATTACTGATGGGACGTGCACTCATACTCATGCATTACTGATGGGACGTGAACTCATACTCATGCATTGCTGGTGGGACGTGCACTCATACTCATGCATTACTGATGGGAAGTGCACTCATACTCATGCGTTACTGATGGGACATGCAGCCACATTGGAAAACAGATTGGTAGCTTCTTAAAACGTTGAAGATACATTTACCATATGGCCTAGCATGACCACTCCTAGCTATCTACCTTAAAGAAATAAAAACCTATGTCCTCACAACACAAGACTGTGAATATTCAAAGCAGCTTTATCCATAACAGTCCATAAAGTGGAAACACATCAAATATCTATCAACTGATGAATGAATAAACAAACGGGAGCCAACCCTCACAATTTAATAGGGTTTGGCATCTAAAAGGAATAAAATATTGATACGTTCTGCTACATTGATGAACCACAAAAGTACATTAAACTGGCTGGGTGTGGTGGCTCATGCCTGTAATCCGAGCACTTTGGGAGGCTGAGGTGGGTAGGTCACTTGAGGTTAGGAGTTTGAGACCAGCCTGGGCAACATGGTGAAATCCCGCCTCTACTAAAAATACAAAAATTACCTGGGTGTGGTGCAGGCACCTATAGTCCCAGCTACTCTGGAGGCTGAGGCAGGAGAATCATTTGAACCCTGGAGGTGGAGGCTGAAGTAAGCCAACATTGTGCCACTGCACTCCAGCCTGGATGACAGAGCAAGACTCTGTCTCAAGAAGAAAAAAAAAAAAAAAAGGTATATTAAGCTAAGTGGAAGAATAGAAATACAAAGACCACATATTCTATGATTCCATTTATACGGCATCCAGAAAAGGCAAAGTTGTAAAGCCAGTGAGTCAATTAAAGGTTGCCTTGAGCTGGGAGTAAGAATAAGGGGTGGTGACTGGTGAGCATGAGGGATTTTTTAGGAATGACAGAAATGTTGCAAAACTGGATCGTGGTGATGGTCACACAAGTCTAAAATTTTACTAAAAATAATTGAACTGCGTACTTAAAACAAGCAAATGTTATGTCAATTATACCTCAGTAAACTTGTTTAAAATAAAAGAAAGTTGGTAGTGTGGTTCCCAATCACTCTTGCCCTTTGTTTTATTTCTCTTTTTCAGGGCTTATACTTATTGCTTCCACTCAGACAATCCAAGAGACATGAGCTGAAATCTACCAGCCTCCAGAACTCACAACAGCTGAGGGAATGTCTGGCCCCACCCTGAAGGCGATGGGGGCTCTGTAAGGTGCACTCCAGTATCTGATACACATGTCTCAGCAAGACCCAGAGCCTGTGGCTTCAGAGAACAAGCTGCTACATCTTGCAGCACAGGGCCAACCTTTCCTAGCCAAGTGGGCTTGAAGTATTGGTAGTGAGGTCCAAAGTAGAAGATGAATGTCTACAACATGGGAGGAGGGCAAGACACAGAGCATTACTTCCGGCAACTGCAGAAAGCGTTCTTTCCAAGTGCTTATGGCATTTTCACCAACATTCACCATATGCTGGACCATAAAACAAGTCTCAATAAACATCCAAGAATCAAAATCATACAGAGTACTTGTTCTGGCCACAGTAGTATATAATTAGAAATCCATAACAATAAGATCGCTAGAAAATCCCCAATTTTAGAAAACAAGCAACACACTTCTGAATAACACTTGGGTCAGAAAAGAAATCACAAGAAAACAATTTTAAATATCATTAACTGAATGATGATATTCCAATACGTGAAAATGTTGGATACAGCTAACATAGTGCTTAAAGAGAAATTTACAACTTTATTTATTTTAATATATATATTTTATTTTAGAGATGAGGTCTGGCTGTGTTGCACAGGCTGTAGTGCAGTGGCTATTCACAGGCGCGATCCCACTACTGATCAACACGGGATTTTTGACCTGCTCCATTTCTGACTTGGGCCGGGTCATCCCTCTTTAGGCAACCTGGTGGTCCCCCACTCCCAGGAGGACACCATATTGATGCCAAACTTAGTGTGGACACCCGATCGGCCCAGCGCACGACAGCCCAGAATTTCTGGACTCAAGCGATCCTCCAGCCTCAGCCTCCCGAGTAGCTGGGACTACAGGCACGCACCACGCCTGGCAAATTTACAACTTTAAATGCCTATAGTGGAAATAGGAAAAGAGTAAAGAAAAACAATTTTCGATGCTTTTATTATTAGAATCCTGAAGAATGGGGCTGCGCCCGGTGGCCCATGCCTGTAATCCCAGCACTTTGGGAGGCTGAAGTGGGCAGATCAAGACCATCCTGGCCAATATAGTGAAACCCCTTCTCTACTAAAAATACAAAAGTTAGCCAGTGGTACATGCCTGTAATCCCAGCTATTTGGGAGGCTGAGAGAGGAGAATTGCTTGAACCTGGGAGGCAGAAGTTGCAGTGAGCCAAGGTGGTTCCACTGCATTCCAGCCTGGATGAGAGAGCAAGACTCCATCTTGGAAAAACAAAACAAAACAAAACAAAACAAAACAAAAAACAGGAATATAATCCTGAAAAACTAGGTTAAAAAAAAAAAAACAAATAAAATTAATAAATGTATACCAATAATAAAAATAATGAAAATCTTGAAATAGAAAATAAATAATAGAGACAATCAATGGTCAATTCTTCTGTACTCCCTACACAAAACTTCTTTTCAAAATAATTTTATATTTAAACATATATTCATAACCACAGAGATCTTAGAAGAAAAAATTAGGGAAATATAGAAATAGAATGAGGATTCTATGGGAATGAAAATCAGAAAGTAGTTGCCTATGAGGTAGATTGGCGGAAGAACAGGGAATTAACAGGGAACAGGCAGAAAATAACTTTCTGGAGTGAAGGGAATGGTCTAGATCTTTTTTCAGGTGGTACTTACATAGGCGTATATAACTGTCAAGGTTCATTGACCTGAACACTTAAGTCCTAGGCTTTTTAATGCATGTACATTTTATTTCAATTTTTTCCAAGTAGAGAAAAGTGTCTTGGGGAGCTTATGGTGGAGATATTTGGGCAGTTTTGAGGCATAGGTTTCAGAAGCATTCACAGCATCTCCGGTTCAGGAATTTGCTGAGAATGGTTTTGCAGCCAAAAATATGGGATAAGTTCAAACACCTATGAGAAGAGTCACTGGGGCATACAATCACAAATCCCCACTCTTGTAATACAGGCCATATAATTAAGTGCTTATCACCAGAAAGCTTTCCTTCAATGATGGTCTTCATCCAGGGACCCACAGCTCTCCAGGGGAAAATGGCAATTGAGGTTTTGGATACATCGGGTAGGAAAGAAAGTCCCCTCACATAAAACTAAGTAACTGGAGATATCACCATTACAAATTTCTAAGCTTTGCAAGACAGCAGCAGCATTTCAAATGATAGTCTCAGGGAGGCGATAAGGGGCTAACGTGGATTTCCCTCCTGATGGATTTACTGAACAAGGACACAATTCACATTGCACTTGTGAGATTTCTTCTCTAGTTTAAGTTCACAGATTGTGGATTCCAGACAGCTGGTATCAACTGACCAGTATCCGGTTAAGGCCAAACCTAAGACTCTTTGCCACACTGCAGGGTTAGGATGGGATTTCTCTTCCAGTTCCCGGGAAGAACGAGAGATTTAACCTAAAGGTCACTATTCTTCTGAGAAAAGGGATCCTGCAGGAGGAGAGAGCAATGAGTACGTGGCCAGAGATGAAAGTGATAAGAGCTGGGCGGGAAGCCACAGTGCATAAAGCTTCAGACCTGCCACAGGGGATGCGGTGACTAGTACTTCCACCCTTCTGTCCAGCTGTCAACAATCTAACAAAAGGTTAGAGTTTTTTCACTTTCTTTCAGCTACTCTTGGCTGTGGTGGCGCCACAGAATGTTCACAAAAAAAATGGGGTGGAGGAAAATAAGGCATCTGTGTGAGTTTATAACCATTTGACATGTCTTTTTAGCCCTCTCCTGGGTCACCCTAGAATCAGATCTGCTTCCTGGCATCTTCTGTTTCCTGGTGACTATTTCCTGCTACTTTGGATTGGCCATGACGGGCTGGAGCTGCCTTGTGACAGGAGCAGGAGGGTTTCTGGGTCAGAGGATCATCCGCCTGTTGGTGGAGGAGAAGGAGCTGAAGGAGATCAGGGCCTTGGACAAGGCCTTCAGACCAGAACTCAGGGAGGAATTTTCTAGTAAGTAAACTTGGGTCATGGGTGTGTGGTTCCATCTTAAACCATGAATGCATGTCGGGGTAGGTGAACCTTGTCTATCAAGTTATTGAAATCTGTAGCCAAATCTAAGCCAATTCCACATCCAAAGTCATCAAAAAATAAATATTAAATGATATAAAATGGCATAGTATGAAAGATACCAGATGGGATGTCCAGAGACTGGATTCTGGAACTGACCCAGCACTTGAGAGGCAGCCACCTCCGCTTCCACAACTCTTCTCATCTAGAAAATCCCATGTCAGTTTTTTTTCTTGTCTGCAACTCTTTTATGTTCTGAAGCTTTTGTGTTCTGAAGGCAATTGCTGTGTAACATTCACAAAAGACACCATTACCCTGGAGGCCTCCCCAATGGGCCCCTGCCTCTCTAGGCTGCCCCAGGCTTTGTTTTGTTTTGTAGCTTCCTTAGCATATTTAGTGAGAACAAAATAAAAGGAAGTAAAGGTAAAGATGAGAAGATGAGTGTATGAGAGAGAGTATGTGTGGGGGGGGGCACAGATAAATGGTAAAATAAATAAATAAATAATAATAATTAATAAAATTGATTATAAAATCAATTAATAAAATTATTAAAAATTAATAAATTAATAAAATTAACTTGTCCAAATTCCCACAGTCAGATTAAGGCAAAGCTGGGTTTGAGCCCTGACAGTCTAGTGCAGCATCTGTGTGTGTGGTGTGGGTGTCAGAGAGAGAGGGAAAAAATAAGGGGAAGAGTCAGAGAGAGACAATGAGAAAGACAGAGAAATATATAGTGAGAGAGAGAGAATGGGTAAGAAAAAGATAGAGTGTGCACAGTGCACAGACCAGAGACAGAGTAAGAGGCACTAGAAGGCCAGACATGCCTCATTTAGATTTTGCATATAATGGCTTTTTAAATTTTTATTTATTTATTTTTATTTTTACCATTTATCTGTGTTGCTCATCATCAAAAAGAACTTGACTGCAGAATTTGCTATGGCAACTCCTTGTACAAATGACCCCAGGAGGCAGGGAGAAAAGGGGTCACATCCAATTGGTCAATGAACCCACCAAGGTCCAGAAACATAAAGTGACTTGCCCAGGCCATCTGATGAATATGCAGCAGAGCTCAGACCAGGGCTTCATCCAGAGGCTTCATCGCTTGGCCCCACAGCTGATGCTTGGCAAAGTGGATCTTCAGTCTTTCCCTTTGCCCCCCTGGGAAAGGGAAACAATTCCCTGGCCTCTTCCCCAACCCAGGGCACTGGGGGGACTGTGTGTCTACATGTGGGCTCTGGCTGCCCAGAGGGTCCTGCCCGGCCCGCAGAGATGCTCCTCATCGACAGCACTCAGGGACCACACCCAACACTCTACTTTTCTCCTGCTCCTCTCTGACCTCTTGAAATGTCCGATTTCCTCCACCCTCTGTTTTAGTTGTGTCTTTGATAAACAAATATTATCATATTACCAATATTAAATGCTTGTAATCCCTGTGTCTCAGCAATATTTGCAGTCTAACATCTGAAATTAGGAAAAAGCAATACTCAGCCTAGAGGTATTGTTCTCCCATCGTGAAAATGCAGGGCATGTAACAGATGGGCAGGAGTCTGTATGAAGATAAAAACAGAGATCCTTTCAGTGTTCTTTTGTGCCAGACACTTGGCCAAAGGTTTTGCATGTACCAACTCATTTGCTCCTCATAACAATCCTGTGAGATTGGTAATATTATTCTCCTTTTTTGCAGATGAGGAGAAAGAGACAGAGAAATTGATTAACTTGTCCAAGTTCCTACAGTTAGATTAAGGCAAAGCTGGATTTGAACCCAGACAATCTAGTGCAGCATCTGTGCTCTTAAGCAGTAGTTTGTCTAGCAGCTTCTCTAGGCCTTCCTCTTGCCTAACTCACACCATCAAAGCAACTCTATTTAGTCTGTAAAAAACACTTGCCAAGTCCACAGCGCCTTGGAGAAGGGAGCTATGGCTTCGTCAACAAAGTTCCCTTTCTTAGTCCTTCTAGATCCCTGTGAACTTATCGGGGAAGAGTCCTTTTCTCTCAGCTTTGGACTTCTTCCACTTTGACACACCTTTGAGCCAGTCTGTCTGAAGTAGCAGCACAGAAGAAGCAGAAGAAGGGCAGAGGTGGAAATACAACCAGAGAAAATTCCACTCTCAGGCTGTCACCCACATCGCGGCCAGCAGGCTCTTCCCTGCGTCCCCCACTGCAGGGCCTTCCTGGAGTTGCCTGACTATGGGAGGGGCTGGAATTAGAAAAAACATGGCAGAGGCATCGGGAGAGCCAATGGTCCCGCCTGTACCCCAGGAAGGAATTTCTCCAGCCTTGAATTTTTCACTCTGAATTTTGCCCTCACTGGTCTTCGGTCTTTGTTGCCAGTTTCAATTAAACTGGCTTATTCTTTGGAAAAGAATAATATTAAACAACAGAAAAGTTATTATTAAACAGCCAGTCCTGCACCTGGTGTTTGTCTTATAGCTTCAGGGTGCAAAGCTTGGAGGCAGGGTGGTCATGTTTAAGCCTTCACTAGAAACATGACCTTAGATCTGTCCCTTAACCTCTCTGAGCCTCAGTTTCCTACTGAAAAAGTGGGACTCCGAATACCTACCTCATGAGATAACTTTAAAAAGCAATGAGGATACTGTAAGTTGTATACAAATTATAAAGCACAAACAAGTGTAGAGTGTTTATCTGGGCTCATGTCCCACAGTGTTCATTTTGTGGGCTAATTCTAAGTGACAACTTTACTGGAGGCATCACTTACTGGGTATTTCAGAGGAGCCTGAAGACATTGATCTTGTAACCATTGCCCCTGGCTGGACAGCTGGGATGTTAGTTCGTTGGTGGTTAATTCATCGCTACCTGCTTTTGATAATATGTGATAAGAACTTTTCAAGGAAATTCATCATTGAAGCCCATCTGCGATTCCTGAGTAATGGCTCCATCCTCTTTCCAGTTGCCCAACAAGGAAACCATAGGGGTGATTTTGTCTCCTTTTCCTCTCAATCCAGATCCAACAGATATCAGGACTTTCAAGATAAGGTCTGAAATTCAAACCTGGTGTATCCCTCCCCCCTCCTGCTTCCACTGTTGGATACTGGTTTCAGTCCTCATCTAAACTTTGGCACAGACATGCCGATTAATCTCTTGATCACCTTGCTTTCTCATATCCTCTATACCAGTCCATTTTATATCCTCAAGACAAGGTTAACTTCCTACACCACACTCTGCCTTTGTTTCTTTTTTCTTTTTTTGTTTGTGGTTTTTTTGAGACAGGGTCTTGCTCTGCCATCTAGGCTGGAGTGAGGAGGTGTAATCTCAGCTCACTGCTGAAAGCCAGAGACCCCAGCCTCCATTCATCCTCCCACATCAGCGTGAGGAGTATCTGGAACTGTAGGCACATGCCACCATGCCCAGCTATTTCATGTATTTTTAATAGAGATGGGATTTCGCCGTGTTGTCCAGGCTGGTCTCAACCTCCTGCACTGCGGTGATCCAACCATCTCTGCTTCCCAAAGTGCTCGAGTAACAGGCATAGCCACGGTGGCTGGCCTTTTTGTCATCTTATCCCAAATATAACTATGGGGTTTTCTTTAACATGATGCTGCAGACCAAAAATGATGATTTCATACATGGTTTCTCAATACCTACAGAATTAACTTCAAATTTTTCCCCCTTATACCCTGCACAATCACTCTACTCTCCTTAAGAAATTTGATGAGCTTCCCATGACTCTATCAATGCATATGTTCCAGGCACACTTGACACCTCACTGCTCGGATTACTTTTCTGAAATGAGATGGGATAAAAACAGATGTCTGCTCTTTCCCAATAAATTGCTACACACTATGATTTCTGAGCCATCGTTTACTGGTTTCTTCCATAGAACGTATACCCTCTACTGTAATGTCTCACTCTAACCATCCTTGAACAGCTATGTAACATCACCTTTGTCAGAAAACTTTCCAGCCAGATACAGAAATCCTTCCAATGATCTGACCTGTGTTCACACAGAGCTCCAGAGCAAGATCAAGCTGACGATGCTGGAAGGAGACATTCTGGACAAGTCATGCCTGAAGAGAGCCTGCCAGGACATCACGGTCGTCATCCACACGGCCTCCATCATTGATGTCTTGGGTGCTATTCACAGAGAGTCTATCATGAATGTCAACGTGAAAGGTACCGTAGCCTGGGGAGGAGATAAAGCAAGGTAGAGAATTAAGGATCAGAAAGGACAGGAAAGAAAGAGAATTCCCTCCACTGAACACCTGCTGTGCTCTGGGCCAAGTGCCTTTGCTGATCACTACTAATTGGAATAGTTCAAGGCTGTTATCCTCATTTTTGTAATGAGGAAACTAGGGTTGAAAGATGGCAAGTAACTTGTCCAAGGTCCCCCAGGTAAGTAAGTAGAAGAGTTAGACTTTAAACTCACCCCTGTGTGATTCCAAAGGCGGTGGAAGCTCTACTGCGGCTCCAATCAAAAGTCAGCTAATATCTGACTTCAGACACTTGATATCCAGCCACCCCTTGGTTTCCTGGGCCAGAATCAGACCTTCCAGGTGCCACCACAATCATAATTTTGAACCTTGTGTGCAGGCTGATGAGAATGTTCAGAGCCCTCCTGCCCATCTGAAAGATGAAGTCCTCTCGGGAGAACTGGCACAGCTGGTTCACAGAGGTCTGTCAGGACAGAGTCACCCAGCACACGCCTTACCACAGTATTTTCTGAACAATAAGAGTTTCCCAGGTTACAGAATACGATCTCTCCAGCTCACCACAGGGCCTGTGATTACAGAGCGGTTTCCAGCTAGGTGCCCAAAGTGCCACCTCACTCCACCCTCATCCCTTAAATGTTTGGGAGTTCCTCCAAATTATGGCTTTCCAACTACCTTAAATTCATACACATTTCATTAAGGAATCTTGCCATGCAGTCTCACCTCTGATTCCCAGAGCCCAGTCTCTTCAGCACCACAGCACCACACCGCTGGCTGGCTCTCCACATTCAGTCTACTCAAACTCCTTTCTAAAAGCAACTAATTGCTTTTGAGTTTCCAGCACCATTAAAAACAAAACAACAATAACAAGAAAACCCTTTCCAGTTTCTACTTCCCCATACCCCTATGTACCCCTCCAGTGCAAGGAGGTTGCTAAGAGTAACCCGTTTTTCATCTTAATTCTTACTCTCCACAGCTCCCAAAACAGGGGATATGAAATGACAGGGAAGTGTCAGAGGCATCTGTTTCCTAAAACCATTATCACTCCCAGGCTTAGAAAATACTTCACAATCTTGGTCAATTCCCCCTTGAAGGTAAACTAACTCCAAATTTTCTCTGCCATCAGATTAATTTTTGAAAACATGAGGCTGTCTCTCCAGAAACTCGAATTGCACAGAGACATTAAAAGGGGCTAAGAATACAAAAAATTGTAAATAAAAATGATCCTTTGTCTAGGAAATCCCTTCCTTTTTCAAGGGAAGGCACTCTGGATACCTCCATGAGCTTTGCTTCCACACAGCTCAGGGGAGGCTGGAAGGTCCTCCCAGTGCAGGTGTCAGCAGCAGAGGGCGCACTCCCTCCCCAGTCCTCCACCAGGCTCCACAGGAAATGCCAGGGCAGTGTTTAAAGGAAGGTTTATCACCCCCACTTTACAGAAGTGGGTAAACAGAGTCAACCAGAATTGGAAGCAACTTTCCCAGGGAACACACAGTCAGGAAAAGAGTGTGGATCTCCAGCATTTCCCCACAACTCACTGTTTGCTCAAAGACTCCAGGGAGGACACTTGTGACAAAGTTTTATTAGTCCCCAACAGAATGAGAAAACATACCAGCAATTTCATGTGTATTGAAGGGTGTCTATTGCCTATATACAACCGTGCGTGTGTGTGTGTGTGTGTGTGTGTGTGTGTGTGTGTGTGTGTGAGAGAGAGAGAGAGAGAGAGAGAGATGTGAATTCTTCTACTGCCCATTTTTGCCTGAGGACTGTCTATATTCTCAGAGTTTAGCCTCCTGATTTTATAGATTTTAAATGATCTGCCTTTAATGGTATTGATGACAAATCATAATTTTTCAATACTCTTACTTGATAAACCTAAGTCCTTTTCCAAAATTAAGGCACAGACATACACACACACACACACACACACACACACACACACACACACACACGTCCATGAAACGCAAAAGTCTGAAAATCCTTGCTCTCCAGAACCCACATGTCAGTTTCTTTTCATTTTTATGCTTTTCCTATGGTTGTAGAATGATCCAATCTCAGAGCCGCAGAACACCATACCTTGACTCTGTTATAACCGCTGTACTCAGGAGTGGGGAATGGGGCACATGGGTCTGTGCATGAAGTTGGCCCCCCGTTAGGGGTACTTCCTGACACTGACAGCTTGCTCTTCGTGGGCAGGTACCCAGCTCCTGTTGGAGACCTGTGTCCACGCTAGTGTGCCAGTCTTCATCTACACCAGCACCCTA